CAAACTAGGATTTGAATGATGAATTAAAATGTATTGATTTGATGAAGGATTATATACACATTGGCTCCTAATATTATGCCAAACTGGCATATTCAACATACATAATAATTTATTTCATTTATTTATTTATTTGTTTTTATACTTTAAGTTCTGGGATACATGTGTAGAATGGACAGGTTTGTTACATAGGTATACATGTGCCATGGTGGTTTGCTGCATCTATCAACCCGTCATCTAGCTGTTAAGCCCCATTTATATTTTTATTGAGGTAAAATATACATATATAATTTGCTATCTTTACCATTTTGCATGTACACCTCACTGGTAATAAACACAATTGTTTCCTTTGTTTTCCCTTCATCATCCCCTCCCCCACTCTCCTTCCCGCCCTCTGGTGACTACCAATCTCCTTTCTGTCTTCATGCAGTCCACATGTTTAGCTCTCACATATGAGTGAGAATATGTGATATTTGTCTTTCTAATATATTTTACTACAAAAAAAGTTTTAGAAACACTTCACGTTCAAAAAGTGGGATCACATTTTTTCCAAGGTATATGGACTAAGTTATCTTATTGTTGAGTTAGGAAACAGAGATATTTCTGGCTTTCCTTCTTTTTGAAACATTTACCCTTCAACTTTCAAGGCTTATTTTTGCAGAGTCACAGCACATTTTAAGAACACCCCAAAAAACATATGTTTCATGAGATATGGACATGGGGCAATATCAAGATGTCTCTGGTCTTCAGTTTTGAAGTAGAGCTCTAGCTTAGAAATATTCAGCAGGAACCAGAAATGTTAGTACTGCATTGTAAGTCAGCAGCACTAGTTTTAGAACAAAAACAAGAAGAAAGAAACTACTGAGTGTTGAAGTTTCTTCTAGGCTTTAAAATTTATGCATTATGTATATATTTTTTAGTTCAGAATAACTATACGTTTTCTATTTTTTATTAAAAATTCATTTATACACACATTTTGACTTGTAAACAAAGTCTACATGTACTTTTAAATTGGCTACATAATAGTCTATTTGGTTAATATGCTAATATGTAAATTATAATGTAGATATTACTAAGTTAGTAAACATTTGGGTTATTTTCTTTTTGCTATTTGTTGATGGTATTAATATGTAAAGTCAATTAAAAAATAATATTTTGCACTTTTTTTGTAATTCTACTGGAGCACATTCTTCAAAATGAAATACTGGGCCAAAAATGTATAGACAAATTTGTGAATTTTGGAATACATTGCTCTATTACCTTTAAGTCAATGTACAGTTACTAATAATGTGTAAGTCTTTTTTCCCATTATGCCTTATCTATGTCATTAACAAATGCTTTTGCTACATTAATACTTCTATCTGTATAATGGTTGTATTAAGTAAACAAGACTTGTAGAATTCAATTAAAAATAATTTGAGTCATGTCTCCTGTATCCTTTTAAATGTCTTCTGTAGGACTAGTCAGTCCTTGCATTGTTTCTCTGCCTAAACACCCCGTCACTCTTCTGGTCACCATTATTTAATACAAATGGCTCCCCAGTTTGTAATTAAAATATCTGTTCCAATGCAATAATCAACATTTTCATTCTCCTTTAAAATTAATGTTTTTATTCCTTCTTTTCCCTGGATTCAGGAAAGGAATGATGTGGTCAACTTCTCCTCCCCCACCCAAAACTGGAGACTTTATTCCTTTTCTTCCAGCTTGCTACTCAAAGTTTTCAAACCCTCTGGCATTGGAACATGGGAAGGAAAAAACTAGGTAAAGGAGCAGAAAAGTTCTGACTAGACCAATATTTCACAGTGATCTCACATTTTCTCTTGGCAGAGATTTACATTTGAACCTTTCTCTTATAGGAGCTCTTGTGGGTTCTTCAGAATTTTCCCATCCATGTCTGTTTCAGTTGTTTGCCTTCATCCTTCTTCCAGTCTTCATGGGTAAACAAAGTATTAGATGTCTGGCAACACTTCTACTTTCTTTCTCTTAAAAGCTATTGACCTCTCTAAGAAGTTATTTCCAACAAGACCAAAGATAACCCACAGGAACAATTTTTTTTTCCAGTTGGTGTGTGTAGAGCCCACAAGAAACTCTTTTTTCCATTGCCTCTTAAAACTCTAGGAATGCTTGTCATCCCCAGCTTTCCAATCTCTTCTTAATATACTTTCAGGATTGGGACCATCATTTTGCCCTTTGGGCTTCTCAAGTGAGAGTCAGAATTCTCTAACATTCCAAGGACACATTTAAGTTCTCCCAAGACTTTCTAGAGCTCTTGACAAAGTGAAGAGAGGAAAACCTCCTCACCTCTCCTCCTTGGGAGAGGTCTTGAAGATAGACAAACAGCTCTCTTCTCTACACTCCCTTTTATCCAGCCACCAGCTCCTTACGCTCTTATACCTTTGCTGTTGGTGAGAGTTGTACAATTGTGCCATTTTTAGACATTTCCTTTGTTGATTCTGTATTGTCTTATTTGTCAACCTGGAATGCAGTTTTTATTGGATATAAGGTGTCAGCCCAATCAGCTATTTTAATTTTCTATTACTTTAGCTAAGACTCTTTCTATCATAAATGACAAAAAGCCTAATTTCAAAAACTGGTTTAAGCAAAGAAGGGGCTTATTGGCTCCCATCACTGAGAAGAGGTCATGTTTGCTTAGACACAGCTGGATGCACAGCTCTTCAGGGCCTAGCTCACTTTTCCACTTTTCTTCCACTCCTCTCCCCCTCTTCTCCAGCTGTCCTTCATGTGATGACTTTATGTTCAGGTAGGGTGTGCTGATGCATCAAGCCTAGCCTGCTTTCCATCTTCCACATGGTCTACATCACTTTCCAGTGTTCAAATTTGGAAGCATAAGTGTATTAAATTTCACAATCGGTCAGATGATGAATGCTCTCACCTTCCCTTTCCCGTGGTTCCCTGGCCTGGCTCTGATACCTGTGCACAAGTATTTTACGCCATTCTCACCCCAGGCTGCTCAGCCAGCTGTCAATTTTAAGATCCCCCAGTCTATGGTCACACTTTTGACATTATAAGTGTAGATTTAAGAAGAAATATTATCATACTTCTTAATAAGTAATTTCTTTTCATGGGTAAATAATTAGGAAATAATAAATATATTTTTAAAAATGAATAATCATAAATCAGGGTATACAACTATGACTGTATTTTCTCCATAATTGGATTTATTTTCTTTTTTCTTTTTTTGAGTTGGAGCCTTGCTCTGGCACACAGGCTGGAGTGCAGTGGCGTGATCTCAGCTCATGGCCACCTCCGCCTCCCAGGTTCAAGTGATTCTGCTGCCTTAGCCTCCTGAATAGCTAGTATTTCAGGCTTGCATCGCCATGACCAGCTAATTTCTGTATTTTTAGTAGAAACAGGATTTTACCATGTTGGCCAGGCTGGTCTTGAACTCCTGACCTCAGGTGATCCACCCACCTCAGCTTCCCAGACTGCTGGGATTACAGGCATGAGCCAACGGACCTCACTGGATTTATTTCCTATTTTCAAAACCTACCTGTCGTGTCTTTTGCAGACAAGTAATACAGTATCTTGTAGGTAAACTATTAAAACACAACTGTGCATATCCTTTTATTTTTCTTCCTCTCGTATTAATTATGGTTTAATACTCAGCTCCACAGCTATATACAAATTCAGTACAGCACGTATGCATTCTTTAAAGATAAATTAGGGCTAGTTCTAAAAAGCTGCTTATTTGCCCATACAAAAGCAGATGGTGTATATAATCATGTATGAGTCATCTTTTGCTGTAGTATTCCTCTTTCCATCAAAAAGCATTTGCACTCTTCCTCCTTATGTGTTACTCTTGGTTTAGTTTCTATGCAAAATTAAAAAAAAAAAATCCAGAGGCTTTAGTCTGAGGGAAACTGTTGTGGAGAATATCACTCTACACATTACATCAACATGTAAATAATAAACCAGACACTATTCAGATTTAAGGTGGTATGGGAGAGAATTACAAAAGTTGTGTGTGACTGACGTGAGGATTATCTCTCATTACATGAGAGATGTAGTGATTTTTTCCCTTTGGACTGATATTAATAGTTTCTTCTTGTTTTTCATTTTTTGTATAAATATATAAGTATACATAAATATATACATCTTGTGACATTTCTGCAAGGCAGTTATTCTCATCATCATATTTCAGATGATTTCAGATAAAGAAGCCAAAGTTATGCTCAAACCCTGGCTCCAAATCCGGTTCTCTTTTCACACTACCCCAGACCAAACCTTCAAGATGTCACTGTGTATCCTGCCATTTTAAATATTAATATAGGCTTCATGAAATAAGAAGCAAATTTTGTTAAGCTTCTTAGGAGTTACAAAAGTGCATTAAACTTCTTCCTCTTAATGAACCATATTTAAGTAGGGTGTGGAATTCAGATCATAGTAATACCACAAAATATGTATAAGTTCTGTGAGGATTCAGAGGGCATGTTAAGATCTAGATGCCAAAAGTGGGCTAGCAGTTGGCAGTGCACATGCCCCCTAAATACCACGTAGGGCATAAATGCATTAGAACTGGTTGAGAGGCCTATGCATTTTAAATCTAAATTTAGATATAAATAAATCTAAAATTTTATTTAGATAACATTTGGCTTTTAGGAGTTTCTTCTGAGAAATTTGCTGCATTTGATAGGATAAATGTTTAGAATAAACCAGAGGGCTATTATTCAATCACTGTGTATCAATATCACCAAAGTTTCCCTTTCCCCATGTCATTGTTTGGCTCTCCATTCAAAGTTGCTTTCAGAGCTAAGTTTTTGTTGCAAAAAAGGGTCATTCTTTCTTCACCATGTCTCTCAGTTTTCTGCATTTATATTCTCTGTCGTTTAGACCTTTTGCTCACAACTACACAAGCAAACACTCAGGGCTGAAGAGTAAAATTCCGTAATCAGAATCACCAAACCTTCCCATCTCAGCCCCAATTTCAAGAAATCCAACATGAGCCATCCATGGAGTCATGGTATCTTCACAGGAAAGATTTCATAGAAGGGAAATGATCATTTCTTCCCCGACAAATACCAAATTTAACTATGAAAAGTTCATTGCTATGATTTGCATGTCACCTCTGGAAACTTTGTTGAAATTTAATTGCCATTGTAACAGTGTTGGGAAGGGCCTTTAAAGTCATGATTAGGTCATGAGGGCTCCATTCTCATAAATGGACTAATGCCTTCTACAGGGAATGCGCTTCTGATAAAAGGATGTGCTTGGCTTCATTTCCTCTCTCTTCATCTTAAACTTTTGCTTGCCTTTCTTCTTTGTTATCATGCAGTAAGAAGGTCCTTATCAGATACAAGGTAGATGTCAGTGCCATGCCCTTGGCCTTCTCAGCCTCCAAAACTAGGAAGAAAATATTTTTTTTTCTTTATAAATTACCCAGTCTGTAGTATTCTGTTATTGTAGCAGAAAATGGGCTAAGACATTCATATATAGAAGTACAGAGAAATTGCTTGGAAAAGTTCAAGGAGGTTAAAGTAATTTGTACTTTAATTATTCACTAAATTCTGTAGCTCTGGTTAAGATGGCACATTCACTCTGATCTCTTCTCGTCTTTGAATTGTAAATTACTTTAGCGAAAAGGTTAATCTCATGCTCTCTTGTTTCAACATGTTGTTTTTATTAAAAATGTAAATTTAAAATTATCTTGGCATTTGGATCATTAATTGGATTAAATTAACCTAATAATCCTCTTAAAATTACTTTTAAAAAACACGTATGAAGAATTGTTCCCTTGTTAGTCTCATTTTTTATTTTACGTAGTCATTTAGTACAAACACACTCTCTGAAGAAGCAAATAGGTTAAAATTTGATTTTTTTAATTTATTAAAAAATAAATTTCAGTTGCCAGGAACTTAGTCTCTATATCTAGAAATTTCTTTTAAATTTTATCAAGCTTTGTGTGAACAAAATAACATCATCATTCATGTAATAGTATATCATCATCATCATTCATGTACTATTATATCTTGCCTGTTCAGCAATGAAGGAAATAAATGATAGGACTTTAGTGTCCCCTTAATTTATTTAAAACAATGAAACCAGACTCAAAAGTTTACAATAGGAAGAAAACCTAAACTTCATCTAGGTATTTCAAGCCTTTCATTTGACAGCACCATTATTACAATACAATAGAATAGATTAAGTTAGTATTAAACAAATGTAAATGAATTCAACTAAAGTTTTGGATCAGAATCCTCAATCAATTCTAAAAATTATGCTAACATACAAAAACAAAGATGCAAGGAAACATTTGTTATTTATCACGAAATATTAATGAGTAGAGTATTTTTTTTTCCATCATTGAGTCACTGGAACTCATTATAATGAAAATTGCATTCTGAAATTGTACAATTTAGGTATATAATTTATTGGAGTGTCCAATTCACATGTTAATTTTTCACTTGACTGAAGTCTTATGTCTTCTTTGTGTTCTTTCCACATTTGGTTTGGTGAACAGATTCTCATTAATCAACTTTCTCTAGAAGGATTATAGTACAAAAACAACAAGACCAAAATATGAGACATAGTTTTGTTAAACACAACAGGAAATTAATGCATAGCATAAATTTTAGAATTCTACATTCTTACAGAGTTGTCCTTGAACATAATTAGTAGGAAACAAAAGGAATCTCCTTACTGATTAGCTCTATTGAAGTTTTGTGTTAAAAAAATACAGAATTTCTTAGCCTATCTATTATATCTATTCTAAAAGCCTTAGGTAAAGAATAAATATAGTTGCTCTGTTCCTAGTTTCTACAGAGATAAGAAACTAACAGCCAAGCTTGTATAGAGGCAAAATATAATGTGAAGCTAGTAAATGATAAGTTGAATTGACATACGCATGTTAATATTTAAGGCATGTTTCTGAGTCTGTCACGTGTTTTTTAAGAATGACTTCTTTCCCGCCCCCACAAAGAAGTCTGCACAAAGCTTATGGCCAAGTTCCTCTCTGATTCTGCGGTGTGAAAGAAGGGTACTTTCACATCTGCATTTTAAGACTAATCTCAGGTGATTTCATCTCCAGAAGCCTTTGATACCTGTCCCAGTTTCTGGGACAAGTGGAGCTAATGCTGCCACTACTGTAGAATGTGTTCACTGGAATGACTTTCTGTTTTTTTCTGTTAGGCTCTCAGCTTCTCAAGGATGAAGATTCATATTGGTATATCTAATGCGAGTGTGGTGCCTACCCCACTGTATGCATTTAGCAAATGTTTGTTGCACTTAACTGAATTAAACTACAAGGACATCTTAATGCACTGTCGTGTATTAAATTGGCCCAAAGATTTGAGATGCCCAAGATTGTATGAAAAAAAAATGGCAGGGGAAACACTAAACACTAAATTTGTTACTAGAATAAATAAGTGGCTAAAAGTGTATAGAAATTTAAGTTTAAAAAATAGACTTTCGGTTGTAATTGTTCTATTAAAAAAGTGCATCAAGACTTTTTTTTTTTTTGGAACAAGGCAGAATGCAAATAAAATGAATGTTTTGCAGATACTTGTTCCAGCTGCCAGTCCAATAACAAGATAACCTTAGTAAATGAAGTGAATCTGGTAAGTGACTCAGAACTTTTGTTGTTTCAAGTATCTGCGGATTGGATTTTATTAATCCTTTTAGCTGTGAATCGTGTCTATGCCATTCATTTTCGCACAGCAGGAACTTCTTAGGATTAAAATCTTGTGTAACAGTCATTGTCAAGCTTTAAGAATTCACATGATAGTGTGATGTGGCAAATCCTGCATATAACCTGTGTAGCTGTGATGGATCTTTAAAACTCTCTCTGTTCTATGACTCCAAAGTCTAGAAAACCTAGACTGGCCCAGGGTAAAAATTAAAATCCAGAAATGTACCTGACCTCTGATCTATCAGAAAATTATGGGAGAAAAATCAATTGATTTTGTAGAAGGCAGAATAAAATATTCCTTTACTTAAGGAATAAAGCTCATTCCAGAGACTTGTTCTTGGTGGCTATCTCCCAAAATATATGTCCTTTGGGTTTGTGCTTTAGACAAAGTTCAATAGGAACGATATACTTTCTTAGTTCATACCAGGGGCCATAGTGAATAAAACAAACGTAATTGGTTATTTAGACCAACAGCAGAGGCAGCAGCCACTACTCAGCTCTTAGGAATTGGTCTCATGCTGATATGAAGGCTCTCAGCATTTTGGGAGTTTATGTTTTTTCCCCAAAGGAATACTAACATCTGATTTTTTTTTAATGTAACAACTTCCCACTTTTAAAGGTTGACAATAAATGTTCTTTTCAAAAAGCACTATGCGGTAATACTGTTCTGGATAAACACAATGTATCCATGGCCTTTCACATGTTTTGCACCTACTTAGCACCTGGGAGTGGAGATGAGAAAGCATGTGCTAGATGGCTTGCTATATTGATAACAGCTAACAGGTGTGAGGACTTAGGATGACCAAGAACAGTTTTAAATGCTTTACCAGTTGTAGCTCATTTAATTCTCATTAAAATTAAACTCTGTGAGGTTGACACTATCACTGTCTCTATATTAAGTGAGGTTAGTAGATTGCTGAAGGTTACACAGTTAATAAGTGTTGGAGCATGGGTTCAAATCCAAATCTGATTTTAGATCTGAGGCTATTACACATACTGACCATAGAGTCTCCTATACACGTAACTTTGCAGTTTTGGACATAAGAAGTACACTTGGTTTTCTCTTTTACTTATACTATTTCATTTAGTATCTTTTTTTCAAACAAAACAAAACGCTTTGTGTCTAAAGGAGAATCTCACTATGCTGCAGACAAACGCTTACATTTCTAAAACATCAAAGAGGTAGAATTAATGAAATAGAATAGAAATGAATCATAGCTGGTTTCCCCCTCCCTCAAATCAGAAAGAAGTAACTCTCTAGTTAGTTTTCTTTCCTAAAAGGCAAAAGTTGCAAACATTAAAACCAACCTGAATTTTCTATTTCAACAGAACTTAAAGGCACATCTGTGTCAGGTGAGGAGTGAGGTTGTACATCAAATGAGCTTTTCTATGAAGAAATATCAGAAAAATATTAATGTCACAATTTTCTAACCCTAAGTCAGTAAAAAGTAAAATGCCTCAGCTTAAAAATATTTTTTTCTAATTTTTTCTTTTGATTGAAATGCCCTTTGCAGAGATTTTGTGGTTGTTGTTACTAGTTGCTATTTGATGGATATTTATAAGCATTGATTTAAACTTGTATTTGTGTTCCTCTACGGTATTTGGTATTTCAGTAGGAAAAACATTACCCCAAACCCTGGCACTTACCTATTTGCCTGCTGTAATAAACAGTGAAAGTGAAAATAAAAATAAACTGTGTGATCTCTGAATCTTGTTGACCAGAACCAAAGTCATCCGTAAACATTTAGAAAATTATCCGAACTTTGCCAACTAAATATTTCCTTGACTTTTTCGGGTTTTAAAACATTGACCAAGAGAGAAAACAACCCACTTTGCCATAGAGGCCCATGTAAGAAGATGATTTTTCTCTTTTAAACTCCAGGCGAGAGAAGTTATCTTATACTAAAGTCCTTACCAAATCTCTCATACAAGAGTAGTCATTCTCAGATACTTTTCTTTGATTAACAAAAAGTATTATTTAAGGAAGATATATTTACATGGAATAATGAAAATCAATCATAGGATTGGATGGTTGTAGAAGTTAACTGTTAGAAGCAGTTAAAAAAGAAAAGAGGCAAAGGAACTTTATATAGATTTACTATCATTCTCCTTCTGATGGTCTCACAATTGCAGTGTTATTACCCCTCTCAGTTAGCCTTTTTAAAAGAATTATATAGTGGTTATGGTCCCAAAAATCACAGAGAGATTAATCATAGAGGATGAATAAAAACATAACTGTATCAATCTCCTGTGACTCAGTACTTCTGATCTAGGATTACAGAGGCAGTGACAGCATCATAAACACACACACACACACACACACACACACACACACACATATTGTGTCTTAAATGTCATGAATAGAAAGGGATAGCAAAAGCTATACACTTCAATAAGCTGTGTTGTATGGATTTAAAAGTAGCATTAGTGGGCTAGGCATGGTGGCTCGTGCCTGTAATCCCAGCACTTTGGAGGCCATGGCAGGTAGATCACCTGAGGCCAGGAGTTCGAGATCAGCCTGATCAACACAGTGAAACCCCATCTCTGCTATTAAAAAAATACAAAAATTAGCCAGACATTGTGGCCTCACCTGTAGTCTCAGCTACTATGGAGGCTGAAGCATGAGAATAATTTAAACCTGGGAGGTGGAGGCTGTAGTGAGCAGAGATTGCACCATTCCACTTGAGCCTGGGCGACAGAGGAAAGTTCTGTCTCAAAAAAAAAAAAAAAAAAATATATATATATATATATATACACACACACATATATTTTAAAAGCACTAGTGATTCAAAAAAATCACTGGTGTTAAGAATTCATGGGTGGAAATTTAAAAAATTTGTTTCAGAATATGTGAGAATAAAAAAAAAGCAAAAGTTTTATTTTGTTTATTTATTTTTATTTATTTTTGTATTTATTGAGACAGAGTCTCATTCTGTTGCCCAGGCTGGAGTGCAGTGGCATGATCACAGCTCACTGCAGCCTTGATTTCCCGGGCTCAAGTGGTCCTCCCATTTCAGCCTCCTGAGTAGCTGATACCACAGATGTGCACCATCACGCCCTTCTAATTTTTGTTTTTTTGGTATAGATTAGGTTTCACCTTGTTTCCCAGGCTGGTCTCAAACTCCTGGCTTCAAGAAATCCTCTTACCTTGGCCTCCCCCAAAGTTTTAAACATATGTAAATATATTCTTTTAAATAATTAATACACAAATAGAGTAAATACTATAAGTAGAATCTTAGTATTTCCTCAATATCCATAAAAATATATAATAGCAAGTTAGACAAAAAACTAGGGAGCGATCTTTCATTCGGAAAATGGGGGATAGAGCTATATTTAGAGGTTCCTTTTAATTGGGCAAATGCAAAAGACAAAATTCTGCTAGAGTAACACAGTGACTTCTGTGTCCAGTTGAAAAAGATGGAGCTTAATGCAGTTCTGTTTCTCTTTTTAGTTTAATTGAACTCAGAGGAATAAACTCTGCTAGAGCTAGTCACACTGGTACTCAGAGCAAAATTAAAAACTGAATTCTCACCTTTCTCAGCCGGCGAATACAGTAAGAAATAAAGAGGATCTTTCCAATGACAGCAGCCATCACCCCAAAAATAATGAGTGTTATCACTACAGGAGATAAAGAGAGTAGCAAAATTATGAGAGTCTGAAATAAATGACCACATAGCAATAAAAAAAAATAAGACAGATAAAATCAGGGTAACATCACTTTGTCTTTTAATTGAGAGTACATTCATATACTATTATGTATACTTTATCTTTTTAAAAATTGTGTGCTTTACAGTAACCTGGGAAACTGGGACTGTGAGTGATAAATCTTTTGTCCCAGGTTGCACAACTAGCTGATGACAGAACTAAGACCTAAGGGTTCTGATTCCAGACCCAGTGTTCTTCACTGGTGTAATCGTAGATTAGAACTCAGTGGACATTTTACTCAGGTACGAGGGGAAAAAAAACCCAGAAATTCTTTTTTTCTTTTCTTTCTTTTTTTTTTTTTTTTTTTTGAGATGGAGTTTTGCTCTTGTTGCCCAGGCTGGAGTGCAGTGGACAAGAGTGATGAGCAATTTCGGCTCACTGCAACCTCTGCCTCCTGTCTCCTGCCTCAGCCTCCCTAGTAGCTGGGATTACAGGTACCTGCTACCATGCCCGGCTAATTTTTTGTGTTTTTAGTGGAGATGAGATTTCACTATGCTGGCCAAGCTGGACTCGAACTCCTGACCTCAGGTGATCCACCCTCCTTAGCCTCCCAAAGTGCTGGGATTACAGGTGTGAGCCACTGTGCCCGGCTCACAAATTCTTTCATAGTTTGGACGTTATGAAGAAAATATGTCTTAACATACAAAAGAGCATTGAACAAATCATAGAATCCTAATTTTGGAAACAAATTGGTATGAACAGTTTACAAATAAAGAAAAGCAGCCTAATAAGGTTAACTTAGCCTTGGTCAGACAACCAGTTAAAAGTAGAATTATAACTATAATGCAGGTCATCTATATTTTAAGCTTGCATTACTTCCACAGTATTCTTATGCATAGTCTCTGATATAGTCACTAAAAATATTTATACCATATTTGTATTGCTTCCAGATGAAGTAAACAGAATGGAAGGTTAGACATAAAGGTAAAATGGCTCATTTATTTGGCTAATTCATATTGAAAAGCCCCATTATTGATAAAAAGTAAAAGTAGCATTTCCTCTTGCTGGTGTTTCCCAGCCTTCTTGATCACTTAGCTTAAATGCATGCGATAGTGATGAATTTCTATGATGTGCTTTTTATCCTGTAAGCTATGGACACAGCTGAGTGTGAAGGGAGGGTTAGAATGCTGAATAGCAAATGAGCACACACAGTGATACCAAGTGAGGGGGAGGAAATGTCCCTTCAACAGAGGTGGTCAAGATGGCCCCTAAGTGGTCGCATTGACCAAAAATGAATCAAGGCTGAGATTTACCCTTTAGATACAGTGCCAGTTAATTAGATGATTTTAAATGCCTTACTCTTTACAGGAGGGAAGAGGGAAATTCATTTGTTTCATAAGCTCTTATGAGGCCTTTCTCAAATACTCAGGGTTGGTTAGAAAGGCAAAACATCTAACTTACAAGGAAAACTACTATCAGATTATGTATTGCTATTTCCAAAATGTTTTTATTTATTTTTATTTACTTATTTATTTGCTTTTAAGACAAGGTCTTACTCGGTCACGAAGGCTAGAGTACGGTGGCACAATCATAGCTCACTGCAGCCTCAAACTCCCAGGCTCAGGCAATCGATCCCCGCACCTCAGCCAGCCTCCCAAGTAGCTGGGACTACAGGCGCATGCCTCATCCCAGCTAATTTTTGTATTTTTGGTAGATGGATTTTGCCACATTGCCCAGGCTGTTCTCAAACTCCTGGGTTCAAGCAATTAACCAGGCTCGTCTCCTAAAGTTCTGGGACAATAGCCGCTGCCCCTGGCCCCTATAATGTTTTTAAAAATAAAAAATGCCTATTTTAATTTTAAAAAGAGAATATTTTATTTGCCTTTATAATTCTGTGTGAATAAAGTTAACAACATATGCTCTTTTTTTGTTTTGTTTTTGTTTTTGTTTTGAGATGGAGTCTCGCTCTATCAGCAGGCTGGAGTGCAGTGGCGCGATCTCAGCTCACTGCAACCTCCCACCTCGGCCCCCCAAAGTACTGGGATTACAGGCGTGCACCAGCTCTTCTATTTAACCTTGACATATTTTCTTAGGTATTTGAAACAAGCAATACATAGTTTTAAACGGAATGACTGTTATTCTTTGCCAAATATTAACATACCTGGTTCAGAGAAATCATGCATAAGTTGCTGCCTTTCTCCTATAAAGCAAAATTTCAAATAAATAAGGCATGTGCAAAAAAAATCATTTTGGAATTAAACTGTTTTGTGGGTTTCCTTTTCTTAATCAGATTTTGAGAGTTATTGGTCAGCTTTTTTTTACCAACATCTAGCTGGTAAAATTTATCTACTTTTAACTACCCAACAAGTATTCATGGATGAGAAATTAGCAAATTGTCTCATAACTGAGGGGAAAGGGATGAGAAAGTACTGGAAGAATCACTTCTTGACTTCCACAAGAAGCAATGCATTTTTAAAAATGTAAAAATTATGAGTTGAAAGGAGGCATAGGGAGCCATCACTCCACATAGATGCCAGTTTCATGCAAAGAGGGCTCATGTGGCTAATTTTCCAAATTTATACCATAGTCACTGTCTGAATCTAAACTCTTATTGTGTCTCATTTGAGCTTTTGCCAGTAGTCTCTGGATTCTATGTCAGTAGCAATTTATAGTATGGTTACCTTACTGCTCCACCTGTGCTAACCTTCCCTGTCAATCCACATCTTCCTTTTTTCTCTGTCTCCACTTGACATTTTATGTCATGAAGCCCTCTTACTACCAAGACCACACAATTTTCTGGAATTTAATTATTACAGATTACATAGTATACCACGTTGTATCACATAACCGAGGACTAAAGTATAGTTTTTCAGTCTTTAGGCTTTATGTATAAAGGTTAATTGGGGCTTGCCTTCCCTTTCTTTGTCAAGGTGATAGTTATGGTTGGTAGATGGGCTTTGAAGTAAAACACATGGGTTTTCAGTCATGAAAGTTTGAGAACTTTCATGAGTTACAGCTCACGTAGAGTTCAACCACAAGTGACTCCAGAGTAACTATTTAAAACTAAGAACATACCGTTTTTCTGGTCTGGACGTAAATGGTTTCTACCAGAAGATTCTGAAACTCCGTCAGCACCAGGATTGGCTGGGCTCGTGGTCAGTATCTGCTCAACTGCATAAAAGAGAAGTCGAGAAAAGGATCAAGAATGAGGTGACCGAGTGAACATAAAACGTATCATGAAACACAAATGCTCCCACATCCCTCCCTGCAGCAGCTCCAGAATTTCTTCTTCTGCCCTGAAAAATAACAAGAGAGACCGCCACCTGGCTACTCTTCTCTCTGCACCCAGCTTTGCTTTTCATTTATCAGTCACCAAGAATGTGTGAGGCTCTGAGCTAAGCGCTTTTAAACACATCTTGTTTAGCCTTTAGAGAAACGCTGTTAGATAAGCACTGCGTTATTGTCCCCATTTTAAAATTAAGGGAATAGAAACCTTGCAGCGGAAATCACCCTGAGTCAGCAGCTGGGATGGAGCTGAGCCCAGGTCTGAGCTGAACTTGGCTTGCCTCCGTGCCACTGCACTATTAGATCCCCTTTATCTGGCCCACTATTTCATGGTCACATACATCATTTCTGTGCTTTGCTACATTGTTTTAATTTCTTTAACTCACAGTATTATTTCTGTGAGATATTCCAGAGGCAAGGATTCCTCCATAGCAGAGGCTGTGTCTACTCAGCTCCCCTTTTTTAATGTTTCTCAGTGTTTGTCAGTTTCCCTGCCGTGACAGGTCCCTTAAAGTAGGGTTGCATCACAACAATGATTTCAGAGCCATCATTTAAAAATAAAAACAAACTGATTATCACTGATGGGAGGTAATTCTCTGCGGGCAATCCTGGAATTTTCTTTTCCATATGAGGGGAAATTGATGTTGCTATGTTCACAAATTCTGTATAAAATAGCAGTTGAGAAAGTGATTAAGAATGAGGTGACTGAGTGGACCATCTCAAAAGACAACTTTCATCACATCCCTCCAGGCCCTGAGCTAAGTGCTTTACATATATCTTATTTAATCTTTAGAGAATTGCTATGTGGTAAGTATTGTATTTTCGGCCTTATTTTAAAATTAAGGGGCCAGAAGCCCCTCCAGAATTTCTGCATAGCAGAGGTTTACAAATAGAGAAAGTGTACCTTTGTTTTCTCATCTGTACAATAATAAAACCAGCCTCAAAATGTCATTGTGAGAACTTAATTAGTTTAAATATGTGTGTGCCTGTGGTATGTGTGTGCATGTGATGTGCATGTGTATGTGTGTGTTAGTAGTACTTGGCACAGATAGGGCATTACATATATGTTGGCTATTATTGTTATCATGCTTCTAAAGGGGTAACTTGAAGCTGCATTTGGGAAACTGTCTATGCTAAGAAAGGTGGAAGCTTATAATAATTATATGGAACAAATGTTATTTCCCATACCTGTGGCTTCATCTGCTAGTGACAATCTTACTTCTTCAGTAAAAACTGAAACAAAAACAAAACACTATTAAATTTAATGTTCTTATAGTTCAATAGAGGTTGAGTCAATTCTAAGTTTCCCCTCCCATGCTTTTTTTCTTCTTTCAAAAATAGATGCTCAGAGTTGTGATGGAATTATAGGCAACGCTGGCTCCAACCTGAGATACTGACTGAAGAGCCAGATAACCAGGCAATGGAATGAATTCTAGGTCACCGTTGCTCTCTAGTATAAACACATGCATGCAAACATGAGACATAAGAACACCTCCCTACACCCTCTCTTGCTCCAACCGTGTAAGACATGCGCACTTTCCCTTTGTCTTTGCCATGACTGTTTCCTGAGGCCTCCCCAGAAGCAGAAGTGCTATGCTTCTTGTATAGCCTGCAGAACCATGAGCCAATTAAACTTCTTTTCTTTACAAATTACCCAGTCTCACTTCTTTCTTCTTTTTCTTTATACTTTAAGTTCTGGGGTATATGTGCAGATCATGCAGGATTGTTACATAGGTATACACATGCTATGGTGGTTTGCTGCTTCCATCTACCCATCATCTACATTAGGTATTTCTCCTAATGTTATCCCTCCCCAAACCCCCCACTCCCTGCTCTTCCTCCCCTAGCTCTCCTTTGCCCCAACAGGCCCTGGTGTGCGATGTTCCCCTCTGTGTGTCTACGTGTTCTCATTGCTCAATACCCACTTATGAGTGAGAACATGCAGTGTTTGGTTTTCTATTCTTGTGTCAATTTGTTGAGATTGATGATTTCCAGCTTTATTCATGTCCCTGCAAAGGATATGAACTCATCCTTTTTCATGCCTGCATAGTATTCCGTGGCATATATGTGCCACATCTTCCCTGTCCAGCCTATCATCGATGGGCATTTGGGATGGTTCCAAGCCTTTGCTATTGTAAACAGTGCTGCAATGAACGTATGTGTGCATGTGTCTTTATAATAGAAAAATTTATAATCCTTTGGGTATTTACTCAGTGATGAGATTGCTGGGTCAAATGGTATTTCTATTTCTAGATCCTTGAGGAATTACCACACTGTCTTCCACAATGGTTCAAGTAATATACACTCCCACCAACAGTGTAAAAGTGTTCCTATTTCTCCACATCCTCTCCAGCATTTGTTGTCTCCAGATTTTTTAATGATTGCCATTCTAACTGGGATGAGATGGTATCTCAATGTGGTTTCAATTTGCATTTCTCTAATGACCAGTGATGATGAGCATTTTTTCATATGTTTGTTGGCTGCACAAATATCGTCTTTTGAAAAGTATCTGCTTTGCCCACTTTTTGATGGGTTGTTTGTTTCTTTCTTGTAAATTTGTTTTAGTTCTCTGTAGATTCTGGATACTAGCCCTTTGTCAGATGGGTAGATTGCAAAAATTTTTTCCCATTTTGTTGGTTGCCAGTTCACTCTAATGATAGTTTCTTTTGCTGTGCAGAAGTTCTTAAGTTTAATTAGATCCCATCAGTTATTTCTTCATAGCAATGTGAGAACAAACTAACACAATGGGTTTTCACATTGCATCTGAATGTGAACATGATAAATTAAGCAAGCTAAATGACAAAATAGCACATGCAGAATGAATGCAAGCATCTGGAAAAATGAGCATTCTTGGAAGAGCAACAGTATGTTTTCAACATTCCAAAAGCAAGCATACTTTTACTAACAGAAGAAAAAAGCCAAAAAAAAAAAAATTACATGAAACTTAGTCTGTAAATATTTATCAATTTAAAGGCAAAGCATATAATTGAGGCCTTCCAGTAGTTTTGACTACAAATACTCATATTCCTTCAAGTTTCCTAACTGTTCAGAAGGACGTTAGGGACTGCTGGAGTCAGAATTCCAAGGGTTCGGGTGGGGAGGTGTGTTCAGACTATGGGAGGGCGCTGCACTTTTCTTTGTGAACATCTGCAAGACTCTGCGTAGTCCAGTCCTGTTTGCCTCCCAGCTTTATTGCGTCACTCTGCCCTTCCCTCTTGGGGCTCCAACCATTCTGCACATCTCTTCACTCTGTGAATGCACCATTCCATTTTCCATGTCCTAAACTTTGTGCCAGCTCCTCCCTTCATCTGAAATATTTGCTTCCCTATCTTTGCTTAACTACTGGCTTTTCAAGTCTCAGTTCAATGCCACTTCCTTTAGGAGGTCTTTGCTGGCCTCTCTAACAAGATTTAGACTAAAAGCTCTCTGATGTCCCTGGTGTTTAACATGGTGTTGTAAAATCTTATGATTGTTTAGAAATCCAGATATGCATTCCTTAGGCCTTGATGCTTACTGGGGGCCTTGGGTGTTTATTAATTTGTTCAATCATTTACAAAAGTTTTTTTTTTTTTTGGATGTGTGCTGTGGGCTGTGTACTAGGAATACAATGATAAATAATTCATAATAATTCGTGGTCTTTCCCTTCAGAGAAATTTCAGTTCAGTAAGAAGGACAATTATTTAACCCAAGTATAATAAGTATTTCAGGATGGTGTTGAAAGTGAGGGCACAAAGGAGACAGCGGTCAATTCTACTTGCAGGAGGTAGAAAGAACTCATCGAGGCGTTTTTTTCAATTTATCTTGAAAGAAGTCTAGGATTTTACCAGGCAGGCTGTGTGGTACCAGAAATGCCTTGGAATTTGAGACATCATTGCAAGTTAGAAAAACTGCACGTTATCTATGTGGCTGCCGCACAAGGTGTGAGAAGGAGAGGAACAGAGAACTGGGTGAACAGCAAATGAGAGGCTGAAGAGGTGGCGAAGCACCAAATGTTGTGGGCCATGTTCTAGAATTTGGACTTCATCTTTAAGGCAGTGGAAAGACAATGAGGGGTTTGAAGCAGTTTTTTATTTAGGGAAAATCACTGTCAGTAGTATGGAGGATAGCTTAGGGGAAAAAAACATGCCAGAGCTTTGTAGTAGAGGGCCCCAGCTTGTGTTCAAGAGCGGCCAAGATAAGCAATTCCTTTGCAAACTGGCCCCTCCTGCTCACAGAATGTCCTTATCACTTCTTAACATTCCTTTGGTGGAGAAGACCTATAGCCCGAGGCTTTAAAGGGGGCAGAAAATTGTAGCACGTTTAAAAAAAAATATGGCAAAGAATCAAGCATGGAAGCTAACATCTTTTAAAATTGGCGCTTTAGTTCTTTTCATTTTAAATGAAGTCAGAGAAAGTGAAAAGTATTTTAAATTTATAGGCAAAGTATAGGTAACTTTTTTATAAAAATGAAAACGTGCTTAGGGAGAGAGAGCTCATTTAGGTAACTTTTGAGCTTTATCAAAACAATTTGAACGCTCTAGCAAATAGGTAGGCTTCTTTCTTCTTTAATAGCTATGCCTCACAGTGAAAGAGCACTTGGTGGAAATTTTGTTCTGAAGTCAAGGCTGAAACCCCAGAGATCAAAAATCTTACTCAAGTTTACAAAGCTGGACTCAGAACTTAACGCTGGCTTTAACATTTGTCCTACGTTAGACCATAATGCCTCTCTTTCCAGCTGGAGCTGCATGCCTCCACTCTGGCTTTTAACAAGGCTCTGAACTATTGTCACAACTTGGGAATTTCTAGCATTGAGGGTAACACATTGACACAATTTCTTCAATGTAAAATTGTATATTCTTTATCCAAGTCCCATCTGAGCCTGTTACGTCCTATTTGTACCCTTAAAAATTGATTGGTGGCCAAATTGATTTCAGACTGAAATTTGCCACTTATGTTCTTAGAAATATTTGCTTTAATTCTCCAGAATCAGTTGCTTTGATACAACTTCTTATAGCCACCTAAGTCAACATAGTAAGAAAATAAACATATAAAAGCCCTAAAGACAATTTGATAAAAAAATGTGTTTAACATCATTTCCTCAACAATCTAACAATGGTAGCTGACCAATAATGACCTTCTTCATAGTTTGTTTCTCTTCCATTTTTGGAAGAAATGGAACAAAAAGAGCAAAACAAAATCGTCCCCTCAAAATATTGCTTCATGGGAATATTTTCCATTTCTGGAAAAAAAGATGACCTTATACGCCTTTCAATAGGAATTAATATCTATGCTTGCTTAGTGGTAAGAGTAAGGCACAAAGACTTTATTGGAAGTCTATAATTTACAAAACAGTGTCATCTTGAAAAAACGATAGTTCCCATAAAAAGTGAGCTTTTCTGTTTTCTAGTATTAATTACATTTTAAATAATTTTTTAAGTTATTCCAGGGTAGAATCACATGGGGGCAATTGAAATAATTTTATCAATAGCTTCAAATTAAATAAACCAGCACCCGGTTGAAAAAAAAAATCACCTACGTAGAAGGAGAAACAAAAGAAACATCCTCAAATGCTGAAGTTTCTTTCAAATTCAAGGAAAGGAAACCAAATTTTCACAATACGATCCCTTAAAATCACCAAGAATGGGCTGGG